CTGGATGAGGGAGGCCGTTAGCACGAGCTCAAATGGTGTCCAAGGAATCTAGCCAGGACGCCAGATAACATGGCATTGGAACAAAGGGAACTGGCGCAAATTCATGATTGGTGGCAGATCAAGACCTCACAGGTAGGCAGAACCCGGGATTGTGTCTGGGACACGCGTATTATTAATAGAAGGGCCGATACGATTGGTCCAAGGCCTTCCCACTGAGGCAGTTGGGGCAAGACTGATAGGGAATGACTCCCGGCTAGTGACCCCACTGTATGGCCCCCAGTATGGACCTCCATCAAGGACATGCCCAAGCAAGCCCCTAAGCAGGCCTGCCCCTCCCTGGGCTGCCTGGAGAGGGGTGGAGATCATCTGCTTTTCAAGGCGCTCTGCCTGAGCGCGTGATCATCTATAGCAGCGGCTCTCAACCAGAGTTGCGACCCTTTGGGGGTCACACGACTCTTTCAGAGGGGTTGCCAGATTGATAACAGTAGCAAAGTGACAGTGATGAAGTAGCAATGCAAGTAATTTTATGCTTGGGGGGTCACCACCACATGAGGAACTGTCACGGCATTAGGAGGGTTGAGAACCACTGCTCTGCATCCTTGGTTAATGAAGCTCGGTCTCCGTGGGGACTCTGCCAATGGACTTTGTGCTGTCACTGCCATCCGCGGCCGTTTGCAAACCGGCGTGCTCAGAATTTAAGCATGCAGACACTTGTAAACTCTTCTGTTTGGCATCATATGCACGTCTCAATTATGTTCCCATTCCCGCGTCCATAGTTCCAGTGTGTGCGTGATGGCTTGATTGGCTGCCAGCCAAGCTTCTCTGACAGTTTCCTCGGTCCTCCTTTTGCCCTGTTTCAGTCTTGGGTCTCCCTGCAACGGTCTCTTCTCCTGGATGATCTGTTTTTGTCTATGCCTTGTCTTTGTTCTGTTTAAGACTTAATAAATTATGAGATTTGGGTCTCTTGTACCCCAAAACTAAAGGGTCCTGGCTGACCTTGGATCTCCTGGATCCGAATACCCCCAAAAGACTCCAGGGATCTCCATTTTTAACAAGCCGTCGTCTCCTGTTTGTTCTCGAAGCATTGCCCCTCCTTGGGGGTCTTTGTACTTGCTGTTGGATCTGTTTAGGACATTCCCAGTTATCTGTGTGCTGGACTGGCTTCACTGTGTGTGACCTTCACATTTGCACAAGGCTCCTGATGGAAGGGCCCTGTGCTAGCCACGGGGTTAGAGGTTCGAACCATCCTAGGGGACAAATGACCACAACGTGCTAATAGGGAAATAACATTTTATTGGGCATATGTGGTAAGAAAGGGGGACGAAACAGACTGGCATGACATTGAGGTTATGTCTGACAGAATCCCAAGAGCAGCAAAAGATCAGCAGTTTATACACCAAGCCCTCATAGTTTGATTCTTTCAATCTCTCTCCCTGCTTCCTGTGGATGCTGACTCACAGTGAGCCTACAGGGAGGCATGGGTTCCGAGACTGTAACTCGATCAGGGGGTAGAAAACTCGTCTTTGCCCCTCGGAGTGGCTGGTGGTTTGTACTGCAATGCACCATGGCCCTGCGCTCCTGATTCTTTCCATAAAGCAACAAAGCCCCTCGCTGCCACGAAGTCCGTGCCGACTCACAGTGACCCCTGTGCGTTTCCCAAACTTTAACTGTTTACCAGAGTAGAACACCCTGTCTTTCTCCCAGAAAGCTGACCATGCGGATCACAGCCTAGCGGGTGCCCAACACATAACCACTAACCACCAGGGGTCCTTGATTAGACAAGCTGGATATATCGACTGTCGCTTTTCCAACAATCTTTGATTACAAGCTTTCATTGTAAAGGGAGGAGGTCTTTTGTTGCTCCATCAGGCCAGCATGGGGGAGGACAGAGGACAGCTCACTTCTCTTGACATGTCTTAGTCTTTAAGGGGATTTCCTTCCGTTAACCGTACGGCAACCTTTCTTACTCTTGGTGTACTGCCCAACTCCAAACAGCTCCTCCTTGCCTCTTAAGGCTACTGCCCCTTGCTGTCTCTGACTTCTTGCCAGAAAGTAGGTGTGGCAGTGAGACTCTTTAAAAGTTTAGGATGAAACACTGGGGCCTTGACCGCAGTGCCTTTGGTTTGCGGCACTAGCATGCACCACCTACTAGCCCCTCCCTCCTGCAGAGGAAGATGAGGCCATCCGCTCTCAGAAACCCAGGGACATTCTCCTGGCCCCTGGAGGGTCGCTGTGCATCGGAAGTGACTTGATGGCTGTGAGTTTGAGGCGTGGGGCTTGTTGATTTGTGTTTTGAGTGGCCATCTTGACATTTTAAGTACTTTATGAGCCAGGGCCCATGTTTTCACTTTCTACTAGGCCCTTAAAATTATGTAGCCTTCACATCTTTGCCTAAAGGTCTCCACTTTCTGAACACTAGGTCAGTGGTTCTCAACCTTCCTAATGCCACAACCCTTTCATACAGCTCCTCATGCTGTGGTGACCCCCAACCATAACATTATTGTCGTGGCTATTTCGTCACTGTCATGTTGCCATTGTTATGAATCGGGCGACCCCTGTGAAAAGGTCGTTTGACCGCCAAAGGGGTCGCAACCCCAGGTTGAGAACCACTAGGTGAATTGCAACCTTCCTCCAGCCCAGTGCTGCTCCGCTTCGCCAGACTTGCTTTCACAACAAACTCGATCATTTATCCGATTTCCCCTTTCTTTTTTCAGCCCTACCTTTCTGGTGGTAGTGCTGATGAATAAAGAAGCCATGCCTCATGCACTTTCCCTTTCAGTCAGTGGAGACACCAAGCAGCTAACCAAACTATGCCATGTGTTAGAGAGTGATCAGCGAAAGGAAGACAAAAGAGCCGGGAAGGGATATGGGGCTGGTAGACTTAACTAATTTAAAACAGTGTGGCTAGAGGAAATGGAGGAGGGAGCCGAGCAGATAGCTGATGAAAGTGTGTTCCTGGCAGAAGGAACCCAGTGCCCACGGAGAGATGCAAAGGCCCTGGGGCCACGGGCGCATGCTTGGTGTGTGTCAGGCACTGTGATTGGCCTGAGCTGGCTGAAGAAAGGAGTTCTGTAGTGGCTCTGGTCGTGTAGGGTCTGGAAGGCCATGGTGTGGACTTTGGGAAGGGTTGGGGGTGGAGTGGGTGGGGTGTTGAACGGAAGTGTGACATCTGATTTATGCGATAAAAGGACCACTCTGGTTCCTATTGTGAGGATAGACGGTAGGGCCCAGGGGCGGGTGCTAAGGCCAGGGACACCAGACAGGATGTGGGGGCTTTGGGAGTAGCACATAGGAAAAGAGACGGTAGCTTAGATCAAAGCAGTAGTGAGGAGAGTTGAGGTTTTGTTGGTGTAGTCTGCATTTTCTACTCGTTTGTTCCCTGTTAACCTTGAGTTTCTCTCCTAGAGATGAGCCCAGGGACCCAGGAGGCTCCTCTGTTTCAGAGGTTGGCCAGCTGCGGCTCTGGAGCCACATGCGAGTCAAATTAAAAATGAAAATGGCTTCATTTTCAGATAATGGTGATTTCATTTGTGGGTAAATATATGTATTTATGGCTCTTAACATAATTCTTAAGTTGTTGTGAGGGACAGGATTGGCTCTTCCATCTGGAAAGTTTGCTGACCCCTGCTCCATGCCAAAAATACCTTACTACCACGAGTCAGTTCTGCCTCAGCAAGCCTCTGGGACAGAGTAGAACTGCCCCTGCGGCTTCCAAGGCTGGGGTCTTTACCAGAGCAGAAAGCCTCATCTTTCTCCCACAGTGTCTGGTGGGTTCAAACTGCTGACCTGGTGCTTAGAACGGAGCCCATTATGCCACCAGGAGGGCTCCTGTTCTTCAACAGAAAAGAGGAATAGAAAGATTGAAGAACCTGGCCAGGTGTCACTTCGACCGGTGATGTAAAAAATATTATGACCCTTTTCCACCATCCTTTTCTGGCTAGGAGCTACCTTATTAAGTCACTGATAAATGAGGTTCATCAGTTTGTCTTTGGTGAAAACCAACTTCTAAAGAGCCTGCTTTGTGAGGTGCCGGGACTGCGAGGTCGTGCACGCTGCCCTCTGTGCACCTCAGGTGAGGTCACTGTCCGCTGACCCATGGGAGCAGCAGGGGAGGTTGTCTTCAGGGCATAGCCATGATGAGTCTCCACGTGTGGATGCACTTGATCCACAGAAAAGACAGGCTGGAACCAAGTTACTAGACCCTGGAGGGTTAGTCCATAATGTGTTAGTCTGGGTTGACTAGAGAAACAAATCCAGAGACACTCTTATGTGTGTAAGAGAGAACTTATATCAAAGAGTAATTCTATATGGAGAAAACATCCCAGCCCAGTCCAGATCAAGTCCATGAGTCCGATATTAGCCCATATGTCCGATACAAGTCCATAAATTCCTCTTTAGACTGACACAGCACATGCAATGATGCTAAATACATGAAGGTCACAGGCTAGTGGGTAGAAAGTCTTGTGGATCCAGTGGCAGTGGAAACATCTCAATGGTGGCGTGGGTCTCCACGTGGCTCCTCCAGCTCTCTTGAGCAGGCTCTGAAAGATGGCCAGGTAGGGGGTGCATGAGTGTAGTGCATTCTGCTTTCAGACTTTAATTGAAAAGTGTGATTGAAAGCCAGCTCTCAACCTACAGACAAATGCTGCCTCCCCCGCCGCCACTTCCCCTTTGGTGCTTAGTGTTTCTTTCTCTCTTTCCACCCAAAGTAGGTTTTGACAGAATTAAACACAGGTTTAGGTGAGCGCATCTTTGCGCTGTAAGAGGAAGTGGTTGTGGGAAAGTGAAACTATGTCAAGTTGAACTACCCTTCACAGCTCAGCTGGAACTTGTCTTGGACTGGAATTTCCCTCACTGAGTTTATCTCCACTGAGACCAGAAGGCTCCTTCCTCAACCCTGGGGACCTATATTTAGCTCTTGTGGTTTTTGTTTTGTTTTGTTTTTTTTTGCTTAGAAATCCTGGCTACTCCCAGTTGGATTCAAGCCCTTGAAGGAAATTGACTGGCTCCATGCAGCCATGGAGAACAGCTTTGGGACCCCTGAAAGGGCATCCAGGGAACCGCATAGAAACACATGGAAAGAAACAGCCGGCAAAACTGACAAACTCAAGGCCACCCATTCAATTCTGACTCACAGCGACCCTCTTAGGACAGAGGGTAGGTTCCTGAGAATGTCATGCATCTTTAGAAAGTCTTCCACAGGGCAGCAAGAGGTTTCGAACTGCTGACCTTGTACTTAGCAGCTCAAGGCGTCTTCCACTACACTACCAGAGCTCCTAAAAACAACTGAGGTAGCCCTTTATTGGCAGAGTTTATTTGTCTGTCCTTACCCACCCGCCTTACCCTCATTCACTTCCTGTCTGGTTTTATTACCAGGGTCTTCTCTCCTGCCTCCAAAGGCCTACTAAGCCAGGTCCTTTCTTAACACTTCCAGCAAGAGTGTTTTTGCCGAGAAAAAAAAGAGATGGTCATTTTAAGAGAACAGGGTCTGTGAGTCAGAGACGGAAGTTTATCTAAATCCTTGATGTTTGTAACTTTAGCCCTGCCACTGGTGGACATTATTTATCCTTTCTGGGAAAAGGAAATGAATCTGAAGTATTGAGAAAGCAGCTGAAATAATGCTTAGTAGTTTGGGGTTTTAACAGATTTCCAGGGAGAGGCAGTGCACGGGTTGCACATGAGATTGCTCGTAGGAGTGTTTGTTTTGTGTCTGCCGTTTCATTGGCATATAATCCCATACAGATATGCAGCCCGAGGGAACTCTTGGAAACCCTCAGGAGCATTGGTCCTCTGTCTTGTATGGAAGCTGTGAGTGGGCATCCCTCGGTGGCAGGGGGATTAGTGCAAGGAAGGCGCAGACACTTTTCTGTGATTTAAAAGCTGCACGTGTGGCCAAATGAAGCTGACTG